TTGTTCTAAGAATATAGAAGTATTCAGTTCTTCTCTCACATTAAAATTCATTGCCTTAAACAGCATGTAGTTTGCCTTAAATATGCACGCAACCTCTGTTCCAACCCTAGATATTCCTTTTACCAGTATTAATGAATGAACAGAATACGTGTTCCTCTATCTATGTTATGATGTAATCAATATTCAATTTAAAATAAATGAGGAATTAAACTGGCCAAAGTCCAGAACAGATTTTAGAAATCACTTATTCACACAATAAATAATTAACAATACTAGGATTGACTTTCCAGGCAAAAAAGAAATCAAAACGTAAGAACAGGTTGGATAGTGGAGCCAAAACTCTGAAATCGTTCAAGATGCAGTGGGTGCTGCCAATGTCACTTTGGACAGATGGTTTATATCTCTTTCATCTTTGTGAAATCTTTATAAAATGTCTGTTAAAATAGATAATCAAGGAACCACTAAAATGTGCTTCTGTTTTAAGTGTGTGCATCTTTATTTCTAATTAATATGTTTCAGCCACATCTGTTTTGTTATTCAATTCCCCCCTTCCTTAAAATTCATTATTCTATTTTTATTTGTGGTTGTGTTGTGGTTTCAGTTGATTTCATAGGTGGACTTGAGTCAGACTCTTACCATGATCTCCAGAAGCCCTCACATGTACAGTTTACCTGTGAATAAGGTTTGGCTTTACTATAATATCTCTAGTCCACAGGAAAAGAAAATAAACAGTAAAAATATCTACCACTTCAGAGTTTTTCTACTGCAGCTGAATCTTGGAAACACAAATTCAAAGGAGCACATCAATAATTCTTATCACAAGCTCATTTACTAATGTTTGAGCCCTCAGCACATTGCTGACACCTGAAAAAGGATTCAGGGAAATCCATGCGCTGTAAGAAGGAACATGTAGTTGTTGAGATCATTATAACAAAATCTATGGCATGTATTGTTGATACGGAAGCAATGGCTAGTAGTATTATCACTGGACGGTTAATCCAGAGACCCTGGTGATGTTCTGGGGACCCAGGTTTGAATCCACCCAAGGTAGATGGTGGAATTTAAATTCAGTACAAATCTGGAATTAAGAGTCTAATGAAGGCTATGAATCCATCATCAATTATTGGGAAACCCCATCCAGTTTACTAATGTATTTCAGGGAAGGAAACTGCCATTTTTACCTGGTCTGGACGACATGTGATTCCAGTCCCACAGCAATGTGGTTGACTCTTAACTGCCCTCTGGGATGGGCAATAAATGCTGGCCTAGCCAGGGATGCCCACATCCCGTGAATGATTTAAAAAAATAGTGTGTCTTACTCAAAGAACCACTGCTTTCAATGTATACCAGCAACTGCTTGTATTGATGCATGCTTGTAGAAGCATTCAGGACTCAGAGTTAATATGTTAATATTTTAACCAAAAACAGAAAATCTGAAATATATATAAGCAGTCCCCAATTTGTGAATGGGTTCCATTTTTGAGTCTATTTGCAGGTTGATTTTTATGCAAACAGGAACACAATGCAGGACAATATAAAATAGCTGTTCCTAAGTAAGGAAACATTTGCATGTCAAATCATTAAAATTAATATTAATACACCTCCTAAACAGGATCATAAGTATGAGCATTCATAAGTTAGTGTCTACCTGCATGCTACATTCTTAAATCACTTGAAATTTTGCAACTTTAACCTCAGTCACAACAGAAATAATGGTTCATCAGAAAATGGAAATTCTACTGCATGTGTTTATTGAATCCCTACAGTGTGGAAGCAGGCCATTCAGCCCACAAGTCCACACTGACCTTCCAAAGTGCATCTCACCCACACAAGCTTGCACATCCCTTGACACTATAGCATGGCCAATCTACCTAATCTGCACATCTTTGGACTGTGGGAGGAAAGTGGAGCACACAGAGGAAACCCAAGCAGAGACAGGGAGAAACATGCAAACTCCACACAGACAGGTGCCCGAGGGTGGAACTGAACCCAGGTCCCTGGTACTATGAAGTAGCAGTGCTAACCACTGAGCCACCCTCTCTAATACCACTGCTGTGCTATGCTGTGTGGCACATTGTGACTCTGATATTTACAGAACTTAGAAGTCACACTGTGAACGATAATGTGAAGTGGAAATATTTACATTGGTATAACAGCGAGCTAGCTCAAACGGTTGAAGCATATTATTAATGGATAGTAGTGGAAATTTAACTAAGGTAAGTTAAATTTAATCCACTTATAGGGGTCATTTTAATCCACCTTGCTTAGCAGGTGTGGGAGTGGGTTGGTGCACTGTTAAAACTACATCAGAATAATCCCACTCCCAGAAGAAAAAATGCAGTTGCAAATGAACGTAAAGGGTGATGTCATACTGGAGCTGTATTTTAAAGTACACAAGATGAGTTGGGGCAGTTCGTGTAGTTGTGAGTTTTACTGGTGTTTACTGGCCTGGCCCCCATTTTAATTATACAGCTTTGTTTTACTTGGCCAATGTACCTGCCAGAGGTTGCCTCCTTCTGAGATTTTTTGATGTATTACCCTTGTGTTTGGCTGCCAAAGTTGCCGTGGTTCAGATAGAGAAGAGGCATTTTTTTCATTCATTGGTGGGATGTGTGCATCACTGGATGGCTGGCATTTATTGCCCCTCCCTAGTTGCCCTTGAATTGAATGGCTTTCTAGGCCATTTCAGAGGGCAGTTAAGAGTCAGCCACATTGCAGTGGGTCTGTAGTCACATGTCGGCCAGACCAGATGAGGATGGAAGATTTCCATCCCTGAAGGACATTATTGAGCCAGGTGGGTTCTTCTGACAATTGGCAATGGTTTCATGGTCATTAGTAGATTTTTAATTCCAGATTATTATTGAATTCAAATTCCACCATGTGCCAAGGCAGGTTTCAAACCTCACATCACCAGAACGTTAGCTGAGTTTTCTGGATTAGTAGTCTAGCGATTCTACCATTAGGCCATCAACTCCCCATGCCCAAATGAACACAGCAACTGAATAGACAGTTTGCAAGAAGTTTTACCCAGACCATCAGGTTGTAGGTCAAAAGTCCTTTTTCTGGTTGTATCTGGAGTTAAGCTATTTAAGCTCTGTAAGTTCCATTACACTGGATGGTCATTCTTTGCTAATAGCTGATAAATTCATCACCTAATTTATAATTTCTTGCATTGCTTTTTCTGACATTGCCTCAGCCCAGGCTGCATTCAGGGATATCTGTGTATCCCAGTCTGCAGTGCACAGCTACACAAAGCTGCTTACCAACGACCCGTTCACCAGTACATCACTTTTCCCATTGTTCTCAAGTCAGCAAGAAATGATTCAGAAATTTGCAACTTTGGAAGGTTACCAGTATGTTCAGAGCATCATTGACTGAATAGGTCTATACTAATGGCTTGGATGCAGGGGGTAGAAAATACTGTAGCCAAATTTGCAGATGATACAAAATAGGTAAATTGCATTGAAGAAATAAGAAGTTTACAAATGGATATGGATAGGTTAGATGAATGGGCCAAAATTTGGTAGATGGAGTTTAAGGTAGATAAGTGTGAGCTTATCCATTTTGGTCAGAGGAATGGAAAGGCATCTTATTACCTAAATAGAGAGAAACTTCAGAATGCTTCAGTACAAAGGGATCTGGGTGTCCTCGTGTATGAATCACAGAAAAGTAATATGCAGGTACAGCAAGTAATATGGAAGGCAAATAGAATTCTGGCATTTATTGTGAAAGTAACAGAGTACAAGAGTAGGGAAGCTGCAGCTGTACCACACCTGGAGTATTGTGTACAATTTTAATCCCCTTATTTGAGACAGGATTTGGTTGCACTAGAGGCAGTTCAGAGGAGTTTCACTTCATGATTGCAGAAGTGACAGGTTTGACTTATGAAGAGTGATTGAGTAGTTTAGGCCGATACTCTCTGGAGTTTAGAAGAATGAAAGGAGATCTAATTGATACCTATAAAGGTGCTAAAGGTGGATTGACAAAGTAGATGTAGAAAGGATTCTTTCTCATGTGGGGCAATCTAGAATGAGAGGGCATAGGCTTAGGTTACACAATAGCAGATTGAAAATGGAGATGAGGAGTAATTGCTTCTCTCAAATAGTCATGAATCTGTGGAATTCCTCTACCCCAGAGTGTGGTGGATCCTGGGACATTGAATAAATTTAAGGAGGATATAGACTTTTAATTAGTAATGAGTTGAAGAGTTATGGAGAGCGGGCAGTAAAGTGGAGTTGAGGCCAAGATGAGAGTAGCCATATCATATTGAATAGCAGAGCAGGCTCAAGGGGCCGAATGGCCTTATTCTGTTCCTAATTCTTATGCCCCTACGTTCTTATCAGGTCATTAGGTCACAAATAATAGCCTTTGCAAATCAGAAGACTTAATGTACAACCCATCTTGAAATCACAGAAATAAAGCAAGTCTGGGCAAGTTTCTCAGGCAGTTGTTATAATGAGTCTTAAGTTGTTATGATGAGATCATTAGCTGGACTTCAATTTGTATGTTTCGGTTTTTAATATTTTGTGTGACAAGATACTGGAAATATGAGATGATAGCAACACAGTGAAGCAAACAGGGCATCTGGGACCTGAGTGAACAGGGTAAGCAACTAAAAATCTCCAACTAATCAGGTTGAAGGATTTTAAAATTAACAGCGTAGAGGCTGAGCAGCAAGTGTAAATCAGAATGAGTGAGTTCAAGAATTAAGAGAAACGAAAGTAAAAAGCTAGAAATGTAAAATTGCAAATGGCACTTCAGAAACTATTCCAAATTTCAACGAATTGAAGAAACACAATCAGCATAGTCCCACAAACAGGATCTTTACCAACAAAATCAGTGATGCATTAATCAGGACTCCTCAGAGGTATATTAATAATACGCATGATGAAAATTGCCAGTACAGAGGCAGTATTCAAAAACAATCCCGAAGATCCATACTGAGGTTCTGAGGAAGGGTCACCGGACCTGAAACGTTAATTCTGTTTTTTCCCTCACAGATGCTGCCAGACATGCTGAGCTTCTCCAGCAACTTTGTTTTTGTTGCCACGGATCCATACGGCAGGATTGAATCTCAGCGCTATCAGGTTCTGTGTGTAAAATAATAATATTTGAATGCACTTTTAAGTAATTAATTAGATCTAAGAAAAAGAAGTCTGCTTTATTTTTAATGCATGACAGCTAAATACAGTGTATTATTTTCAGGTTAAATTTCTTTTGTACCATGGCACAATGTTTGCAAACAGCTGAATATCTCTGAAGATAGTTTTACTGGATTATACAAACAATGAGATTTGCATTTGCATATCGCCATGTTTGAGAAATGGACTTGACGTTGGGCAACACAGTCATTTAATATTCCTTTCATATGCTGTCTGCTTCTCTATACAATTCCAAACTATAGAAAGGGCTGAAAATGTTAGGACACTAAATAGAGAGGAGTGAATACATGGAACAAAAATGATAGGAAGGAAAAAAAGTTTAAGAATAAATGAGTGATGCAACTGATGGTATATTTAAAGTGAGTGTTTTGAGCCAGGATTTATATTAATTTAAATCTGCAGCAAAATACATTTTGATAAGGTGTACGAACATATCCCTAACTAGGCTAAATAACGTTATATTGTACTTATTCATTGGTCGCAGATAATAAGCTTTTCAAAGTGCCTACTCAGGTAGAGTTTGCTTTGAATTTCCCCATAGATAGCAAATTAAGAGTCATGGTCATAGAGTCATAGAATCATACAACACGGAAACAGACCCTTCAGTCCAACTGTTCGATGTCAATCATAATGCTAACTAAACTGGTCCCATCTGACTGTGCTTGGTCTGAATCCCTCCAAACATTTCTTTTTCATGTACTTATCCAAAAGTCTTTTAAGCATTGTAACTCTACCCACATCCACCACTTCCTCTGGAAGTTCATTCCCTACACAAACCACTCTGTATAAAAAAGTTTTCCCTCATGTCCTTTTTAAAACTTTCTTCTCTCACTCTAACAATATGCCCCCTGGTCTTGACAACCCCCATCCCAGGGAAAAGACACTTGCCATTCACCTTATCGTGGTCTTAGAAGCCTCTGTAAGGTCACCCCTCAAGCTCCTATGCTCCAGTGAAAGAGGTCCCAGCCTATCCAGCCTCTCCTTATGACTCAAACCCTCCAGTCCTGGTAACATCCTGATAAACCTTTTCTGAGCCCTCTCCAACTTAACAATGTCCTTCCAATAGCAGGATGAGCAGAACTGCACACAGTGCTCCAGAAGAGGCCTCATCAACATCCTGTACAACCTCAACATGATGTTTGATTAAGATTGAGATTGAAAACCATTCTATTTCAAAGGCTAAAGGCAGAACCTCACTCAAAAAAATACAACTGTACAGAAGGATTAGAGTTACATTATGTTTATTTGTAACCTAACATCTTATTTGAGGTTTGCTTCCTTTTGAGCTTCCAGACATTTAAATTAATAGCAAGTCTTACTGTTCATTTTTCAACAGCCATATTATTAATTATTGTAAAAAAAATTTGAAAAGAATCAGGTCACACTATGCAGAAAGACCTACTTTAGTCTGTTGTTATTCATTTATCATTAATTTTCAAAAGACCAATGTCTCCTGCTTTCAGCAGTATCATAGAATTATAACATATAGTACAACATAATCAGGGCTTTCTTTAGGACCTATTTCATTCTTTTTTCCATATCTAAATAGATTAAATATCTCAACTGTAGGATGTTGCAGGCTTACTTCGAATGTGTCAAATTGAAAATATCAAACAAATCTGCTCTGATGAAGAGTCATTTAGACCCGAAACATTAACATACTCTCTCTCCATGGGTGCTGTCTGGCCTGCTGTGATCTCCAGCACTTTTTGTTTTTGGTATATCTTTTCCCAACTCTGTTGATAGCTGCTTCAAGTATACAGTGGTGAGAACAGGGTTAGCAAGAAAATTTGGAACAAAAGTTGAGAATAGAGATCAAATCAATCAGCAGGTTACCCCAAAGAGAAAGTTAATGCTTCAGTTGACTTTCTTCCCCTATGCTGAGACAGTGCTATCTTTACTAAACTCTCCCTCTCTCGCTCAACTATATCTATATATAAGCATCCAATTTTCTATAACATTCCTTTGCAGAACACAATTAATTTAGCATCAATTGACACTAAGTTAGCAATCATACTCAGAAGTCGCAGCACGGTGGGTGAACAATGGAAGCAGTGGAAGGTGTCATTTTGAGGTTGTTGTTATATTGCCTACAGCTTTACTTTGTATCTAATCATGACTTGATCTGACTGAATGATCAGTGCTCCATTTTCCAATGTTGATACCTCTTTAAAAATGCCCTTAGATCAGCAAATTAAACAAGAATTGATAATCTTTTCAAATTTACAGGATAGGCTTTTATTACAGGGGTTACTCTCCACAGTCACCCACATTGATAGGAGCAGTTTATTGGAGATGAGGCATCTAGGCTCAAAACATTAGCTTGCTTTGTCTCCATGGATGCGGCCTGATCCACTGTGATCTCCTGCATGTTTTGTTTTTAACCAGATTGATAGACCGGAAACCATTTGCCGATGAAGGTGGTGAATTCTACCTGACAGGGTGAAAATCTGTAGGCAGAATATTCCTGGTCTCATCAAGGGAGTCCTAAAGGTGAGACTGGGAGCAAACCTGTGGGTTAGGGCATTGACTTAGTGGGCTGACACTTCTGTGTATTGTTGCTATAGATTTGTCTAAGAGCCCTTTTTAAACTGTCACTTTTACTCAGGCTAGGAAAGCACTGCCATCTGTGGATAAAAACAGAATAATTGTCAAAATAAAGTCAGGAACCCTCATTATGATATTTAAATACCCAACTCATTGCCTGTTCCTGGTTGCCCCTTGAGAAGGTGGTGGTGAGCTGCCTTTTTGAACCGCTACAGTCCACCTACTGTGGGTAGACCCACGATGCCCTGAGGGAGGGATTCCAAGATTTTCACTCAGTGAGAGTAAAGGAACAGCGATGTATTTCCAAGTCAGGATGGTGAGTGGCTTGGAGGGGAACTTGAAGGTGGTGGTGTTCCCATGTATCTGCTGCCCTTGTCCTTCTGGATGGAAGTGGTCATGGGTTTGGAATCTAAGGATCTTTGGTGAGTTTCTGCAGTGCATCTTGTAGATAGTACACACTGCCGCTACTGAGTGTCCATGGTGGAGGGAGTGGATATTGGTGGAGGGAGTGGATATTGGTGGATGTGGGGCCAATCAAGCGGGCTGCTTTGTCCTGGACAGTGTCAAGCTTCTTATATGTTATTGGAGCTGCACCCATCCATAAGACCATAAGACATAGGAGCAGAAATTAGTCCATTCAGCCCATCGAATCTACTCCACCATTCAATCATTGCTGATAAGTTTCTCAACCCCATTCTCCCGCTTTCTCCCCATAACCCTTGATCCTTTTGACAATCAAGAACCTATCTATCTCTGTCTTAAATGTACTCAATGACTCTGCCTGCACAGCCTTCTGTGGCAGTGAATTCCATAGATTCACCACTCTGTGGCTGAAGAAGTTTCTCCTTATCTCCGTTCTAACAGGGCTTCCCTTTACATTATGGCTGTGTCCTTGGGTCCTAGTCTCTCCTACTAATGGAAACATCTTCCCAGCATCCACTCTGTCCAGACCATTCAGTATTCTGAAAGTTTCAATTAGATTCCCCCCTCATCCATCTAAACTCCATCAAGTATAGACCCAGAGTCCTTAAACGTTCCTCATATGTTAAGTTTTTCATTCCTGGGGCCATTCTTGTGAACCTCCTCTGAACCCGCTCCAGGCCAGTACATCTTTCCTGAGATATGGGGTCCAAAACTGCACACAGTACTTCAAATGTGGCCTGACCAGAGATTTATAGAGCTGCAGAAGTACATCCCTGCTTTTATATTCAAGTTCTCTCAAAATAAATGCCAAAGTTGCATTTGCTTTCATAACTACTGACTCAACCTGCAAGTTTACCTTGAGAGAATCCTGGACTAGAACTCCCAAGTCTCTTTTGACGTCAGACTTCTGAATTTTCTCCCCATTTGGAAAATAGTCCATGTTTTTATTCTTCTTACCAAAGTGCATGTTCTCACACTTTCCCACATTGTACTCCAACTGCCACTTCTTTGCCCACTCTCCTAACCTGTCCAAATCCTTCTGCAGCCTCCCCACCTCCTCAGCACTACCTGTCTCTCTACCTATCTTTGTATCGTCTGCAAACATTGCCAGAACGTCCTCAGTTCCTTCATCTAGATAATTAATGTATATAGTGAAAAGTTGTGGTCCCAACACTCAGCCTTGTGGAACACCACTAGTCACCAGCTGCCATCTGAAAAAGACCCTTTTATCCCCACTCTCTGCTTTCTGCCAGACTGCCAATCTTCTATCCATGCTAGCACCTTGGCTCGAACACCATGGGCCCTTATCTTACTCAGCAACCTCCTGTGTAGCACCTTGTCAAAGGCCTTCTTGAAGTCCAGGTAGATAATGTCCATTGGCTCTCCTTGGTCTAACCTGTTCATTACTTCCTCAAAGAATTCTAACAGATTTGTCAGGCATGACCTTTCCTTGATGAAGCCATGCTGACTTCGCCCTATTATACCATCCAAGTATTCAGAAATCACATTCTTTACAATGGACTCTCAAATCTTACCCACGACCGAGGTTAGACTAATTGGCCTATAATTTTCAGTCATTTTCCTTACTCCCTTTTTAATCAGGGGTGTTACATTAGCAATTTTTCAGTCCTTTGGGACCCTCCCTGACTCCAGTGATTCCTGAAAGACCACTACTAACCCCTCCATTATCTCTTCAGCTATCTCCGTAAGAACTCTGGGGTGTAATCCATCTGGTCCAGGTGATTTATCCACCTTCAGGCCATTCAGTTTTTCTCGCACCTTCTCCTTGGTGACAGCCACCATACTCAGCTCTGCCCCCTGACTCTCTTGAATTTTTGGGATATTACTCTTCCACTGTGAAGACTGACGCAAAGTAATTGCTCAATTCTTCAGCCATTTCCTTGTTCCCCATTACTATCTCTCCAGCGTAGGCAAGTGGGGAGTATTCCATCACA